AGTCAGGGCTCTCATCGATGTTTCTAACTCTCTATCCCTCTCCCTTCCTCTCTGTAAAAAATCAATAAAATATATATTTTTTTAAAAAGGAAGCATTTGTGAGGTCCTGCTCCCTTGAACTAAAGCAAACTGAAGATGGATTAAAATACTTTGGGGGGAGGGGGAGGAGGGAAAAAATTAAGCACAAAACTAGAGCAAATATAATTAACTATTTATTGAACTTCTGGAGGGAAAGGACCATCTCCTGTCTTAGCTTGGACTTGGTAGAATAAATCAAATATGGTATCCTCCCTCCTTGGAGCACTCACTCACACCAAGAAGCCCGGCCGGCGAGGTTCAGTGGCTGAGCGTCGACCTATGAACCAGGAGGTCACGGTTCGATTCCCGGTCAGGGCACAGGCCCGGGTTGCGGGCTCCATCCCCAGTGGGGGGCGTGCAGGAGGCAGCTGATCCATATTGATGTTTCTCTCTCGATATTTCTATCTCTCTCTCCCTCTCCCTTCCTCTCTCTCTAAAATCAATAAAAACGTATTATTATAAAAAAAAAAAAAGAGCTGGAAATGGGCCAGATTTGGCCTGAGGGCCCTACTTTGCCAACGCTGCCGGGTTGAAAATAAGTTTATTTCCCCCCCAGGCTGGGTGTGCCTGCAGGTCAGCAGGGGCGCTCTGGGCACTGCACAGCCAGGCACTCCGGCTGCGGGAGGCTCAGGCCCACGCCTGCTTCTACAAGGGACGTCCTCAGGGGATTCTAGAGAGTCACACGGAGGCACACGACCCGTCTCCCTCCAGACGACAAACCGCCCGGGAAAGCACCTACATTCTTTCTTTCTTTTTCTTAAATAAATTTCTAAAATAAATTGTGTTTTGCTTTTCCACTTCATAACAGAAGCAATTTTGCACGAATATTCTGGATGACAGACACACTGGCTACAAAAGGAACTGCTTCAAGGTGAGGAATTTATCCTATATCATAAAAGGCTAATATGCAAATTGTCCCCTCGGGAGTTCGACCGACGGGGTGCTCGCTATGACTAGAGGCCCAGTGCACCGATTCGTGCACCGGTGGGGTCCCTCGGCCCGGCCTGTGGGGATCAGGCTGAAACTGGCGCTCCAACATCCCCTGAGGGGTCCGGATTGCGAGAGGGGACTGCGGGAGGGCTCCAGGGCACGTCTGGCCCATCTCGCCCAGAGCCGATGAGCCAGACCCCAGCAGCAAGCTAACCTACCGGTCAGAGACTCTGCCCCCTGGTGGTCAGTGTGCATCATAACGACTGGTCATATGGTCAAGCCAGCAGTTGGACACTTAGCATATTAGCCTTTTATTATATAGCTTGGCCTGGCCTGTGGGGATCAGGCTGAAACTGGCGCTCTGACATCCCCTGAGGGGTCCCGGATTGCGAGAGGGGACCGAGGGAGGGCTCCAGGGCATGTCTGGCCCATCTTGCCCAGAGTCGATGAGCCGGACCCCAGCAGCAAGCTAACCTACCGGTCAGAGACTCTGCCCCCTGGTGGTCAGTGTGCA